ATATGACAAACGTTGTCATGATAAACTCGAACTATCTGGTTGCCGCATGTTGGAAACAAGGGGGATCTATCTTTGATGAAAACTTTATTATATCAATTTTTTTTTTATGATTTAATAAATGTGTTATCACTGAAAAATTGTACTGTCTCCACTTAAAATTGTATCATTATCCAAAAAAAATTAAGTGGATTATTTAAAATTTAAAATTTATAATATCATCAATACCCAAATAATTAAAATTCAATCCAATTAAAATAATTAATTTATATTTTAAAACATTAATATAAAAAATAATATTATATTATTATTATTTTTTAATAAACCGAATCTTATAATTAATTTTATTTTTAAATTTATATATCGTGCAACCAGTAAAAAAAACTTATAGACTCGCCATTCCACGAGCTGCAACTTCGGATGTTTCACATTTGTCTTTGTATAACACCTTTTCATCAAATATGAAATTTCTACTTGAAATAATCTTGTGATTTTGATACTAAAATCTATATATACTCAAACTATCATCTCCTCCTTCAAAAACAGCCCATATATATTGGTTCAAACTTTTGACCGTATTTAAATTTTATTTATTATACATAGTTTATTTAGTGTGATTTATTTTATAAAATTTAATTTGCAGGTCTTTTTAAATTTCATTAAAAATTTACACAAAACGCATTTAAAAAAAGGTAAAATTGCCCGTAACTTCCTTGTGGTTTCGAAACTCAGCGTAAATTCCTCCTCTACTTTAAAAATTGCATGGTACCCCCTTATACTTTAAAAAATATTGCATGAAACCACTTTGCGGTTTCGAAACTCAGCATAAATCCCCATTTTACTTTAAAAAATTGCATGACCATCACTTATACTTTCAAAAATATTGCATAAAACCCTCTGTCATGCAAAACATATAGATAGAAAATCATCTTCTTATCACATGAAGAAAATTTCATGGTGGTGGAGTTTCATACAACGTTTTTAAAAGTATAAGGGAGTACCGTGCAATTTTTAAAGTAGAGGGAGAATTTACGCGGAGTTTCGAAACCACAAGGGAGTTATGGACAATTTTGCCTTTAAAAAATAGCAAATTTCACGTTATATAATAATAATAATAATAATATTTGGTTGTTGCCGTGAATGGATGATATATCAACTTCTCACTTCTTCAAATCAAATAAACAAAACTAATTTAATCAATAATATTTAATTCACTCACATGTTTCATGATTAGTGGACAGTGGCGGAATCTTCCTCCGAATTTGGAGACTGAATGACGGTATTTATACGATTTTATTTTGTATGTTTGGATTTTCCTTAACATTATAGTAACAAATAAATAGAAAATAATAATAATAATAATAATATATAATTGGTGTTATCAGGGTTATCTCGAATTTTTTTGGGGTTTTGAGTAAAAATAAATTATAGGTCCTATAAATACATGATTAAAATATATTTTTAACAAGAGGTTGAACGTGACGGTCTGGACAATATCAATTTGAGAAAAGAAGATGAAAAACTGTCTGTCCGGAAATTCGAAAAGCGAGAATGACTGAAGGGGGTGAAAGATATAAGAGAAAAGGTGACGCGGGTTTGATCTGAGTTGGTGGACGCAATCGACAAAGTGTAAGATAAAGAAATATAGACAACTATTCAATTTGAAAAGATAGGGTGAGACATTGTTAAAAAAAAAAAGAAAAAAAATGATTTAGAGTTTAAAATTTAAATTTAAAATTAAATTAAATAATTATGAAAAAAAAAATGTAAATAAAATTAAAATTAAATTTAAAATTTAATAATAATAATAATCGATAATATTTTAAAATAGGTCCTATTAATTAGGGCTGAACAGTTGCTCTCCCTGCTTCTACTGTGAGCCGCCCCTGGGTGTTATTAGGATTTTCGTTGTTGGAAAATTTTCTTTTTTTTCTCTTTGTTTGTTTTTTAAGTGCAATACGAAGAATTTTCAATAACTCAGCTTATTTTAGTACTCTCTCGTCATATTTATTGTGTCAATTTTTCATTTCTATCCGTCAATTTATTTATCACTTTTTCTGTTTTTAGAAAAGAAATATACAATTTAATTTTATTTTAAATTTTTTAATTTATAGTTTTTTTATTTAATTATATTAATTAATTATTTTAATCTTATTTTAATATTTTTATTATACTGTAATTATTTTCACTAATAAATTTTTAATTATTTACTAATTATACTATTTCTAAATTTCCATCTACAGTAAAAAAGACACGGCTGAAACGGATGAGTATTATTTTCACCCAAATATGTTTAATTTCAAAGTTACGATGAAATTCGGTGTGTTATATTGTTATGTCATGAATCAAAAAATTTTAAAGTAGACTGTTTTGATTCGCAAAATAGTTAGATGATTATCTAATAAAAATGGGTGCGAATTATATGTTAATTCAATCGGATGAGCATATGATATAAAAAAAATTAATATATATTTTTGTATCATAAAAATATTATAATAGTATATAATATATGCTGAATATATTTATCTAATATCTTAATCCTATCAAATCAACATTTCAAATAAATATTTGATTCGATCCACCTGATCCACAAGCCAATAAAAATAAATTGACTCAGAGTTTGTAATGAGATGAAAAAGTATTTGTAGTAATTAATTATTGAATTAAATTAATGTGATGAGTTTTGTAATAATTATTTATTGAATTAAATTATCCAAACGACAAAAGGATAAACTTAAACGTGATCTCATAGAAGACCCAAACATCAAAATTAATTATAAGGAGCACTTGTCGAAATTTTAAGTTAATATATTTAGTTCGTAGCACAATATTTTATGCATTATTTTTTCCATCGTTCAAATTTATATTTATTTTATTTTTTTTGTTATTATAAAAAAAATATTATCATTTTTTTTAGATTGTTAAGAAAAAAATAATAATTATTATCAAATTTCATTAAAATTTGTGTTTGATCAAGTAGATATACAATCAAATGACAGAGTAAAGTCCCGTAAAGAATGACTTGATGGTGTAGGATTGGACGTGTGACCGTGAGGTCACGGGGTCAAACTCGTGTCGCCTCAGGTCATCTGTTACACAAGAGATAAATAAAAATAAATGGGTTTGAAATCTCAGGTGTAAAAAATTCAAAATTTAATTAAATTGGTTTATATTTATTAAATAAATTTAAAATTGATAAATCAACTAAAAACAACATAAAAATGTTATCTTGGAACATATTAGAAAAAGTCATATATGAAGAGACTGAGGAAGTATTTTGTTGTAGCATGATTTTTATGCATTATTGTCTCTCTTATCTTTAAGTTGTTATAAAAATATTTTTTATTTATTCTTTAAGTAAAAAATAATTACTCCCTCTGTCCCATATATTATGGGCCTATTACTATAGATACGGAATTTAGGTAAAGTGTGATTAGTAAGTAATTAAGAAGTGTATTAGTAAAAATAATTATCGTATAATAGAATCCTAAAATACAAAATAATTAGTAAAAAAATACAAAATTTTCGAATTACTGCATATACAGAACTGGAAAAATAAAATATTGGGTAAAACTGTTCATAATTTCTTGTGATTTCAAAATTCAAATTAAAATGTCTCTTTATTTTAAAAATTACATGACGCTCATTATACTTTAGAAAGCATTCATTAAACTCCACCACTATGAAACATTTCTTATGTGATGAGAATATGATTTTCTATCTTTATTTTTTCATGACGGATAGTTTCATCAATATTTTTTAAAGTATAAGGGAGCATCATGCCATTTTAAAAATAAAGTGAGGGTTTACATTGAGTTTTTAAAATCATAAAGGGATTTCATGCAACATTTTTTAAAGTATAAGAGGACGTCAGCAACTTTCAAAGTAAAGATGAGATTTACGTTGAGTTTCGTAATCACAAGAGAATTATAAACAATTTTGTCAAAATATTGGTATAATATCATATTGAATTTCTTTAGGACGATAACGATATATAATTTTATATTTTCGACATATACTGAATTATTGAAATATATCAAAAATACTACATACTATTGTGATATTTTGGTATTTAGTATGTCCGTTATTGATTCAAACCTAAGATGTCAGTTGGATTAAAAAAAAAATTATTTAATTTATATTTGAATTTAGAGGCAATATATAGAAGATTAAAAGAAATTTAAAGTATATATTTAAATATTTTTAGAAATTATATTCCCTCCGTTCTTTATTATCTATTTGCTTTTTAAACGAAATTTTAAAAATATTAATATTAGATTGGAGTGTGGTATAAATAAAATAGAAAAGACTAAAATAACCTTTATAAGGTAATGTCATTTGTGTAATATATTATAAGTTGTAAGAATTTTTTAATATTAGTAGAATGTACCGTTACTAAAAAATAAAATGGATACGGACGAACCAAAATAGAAAAAATAGATAAATTATTATGGAACGAATGAAGTATTTTAATAAAATATAATATATTATAAATATAATTATGAAAAATAAAATTTTATATAATATAAATAAATAAAAATATTTTTTATAACTAATATAAATTCATTTTATAAAAAATATAAAATTTTAAATATATATAAATATATTTGTTTATTAAAAATAGATATTAAAATATAAAATTTAAAATAAATTCTAGACCATGGAGCATTTTATAAAGTTAATTAAAAATTAATTTATATTTATTAATTATGTTTTAAGTTGATAAATTTAATTATAAATAAAAATATATCGATTATTTTAAAAATACATTCAAATCTAAGTTAAATGTTAATGTATACATATATATAATAAGTAAAAACAATTGATTATGATATTTTTAAAAAACATAATCAAATCAAATCAAAATCTTAAATTAAAAATTAAAAAAAAAATAAAAAATAAAACTATCTCGATTCAAAATAAAAAAAAAATCAAAATCCAAAATGAAATCTCGTAAACAAACACGCTATCTCTCAGTATAAAATCTGATCCTAACTCCAAGCAAAGACATCCCTCCAGACTTCCTTCTCCAGTCTTCTTTCTTTGCTTAAATTTTCTTCTTACCGCCGGCGACCTTCACCTCCTCTTTCATCGCCGGAATCTATAAAATTATTACACAAATTAAACCATGGACTTGTTTTCCATTGCCACAATTTTCCTTGTGCTTCTTTCCTATTATGCATTCTCTTACCTCAGCCCCAAATCCCGTTCAAGAAACCGGCGGCCGCCTGAAGCCGGCGGCGCGTGGCCTATCATCGGCCATACACACATCATGCGAAACCAATCCCCCGACAAGCTCGCCCACCTCACCTTCGCCGCCATGGCCGAAACCTACGGCCCGATCTTCAGCCTCCGGTTCGGCAGCCGGCCCGGCCTGGTCGTGAGCAGCCGGGAACTGGCGAAAGAAATATTCACCACGTGTGACATGGTCGTGTCGTCCCGACCGTTCTTGAAGTCGGCGGAAATCATCAGCTACGAGTCGGCGATGATAGGGTTCATCAAGTACGGACAGTATTGGCGGGACGTGAGAAAGCTGATCAGAGTGGAGCTCCTGTCCATGCGCCGGATGCACATGCAGAGGCACGTGCTCGCCGCCGAGACTGCGCAGTCTGTCCGAGAACTGTACGGTCTCTGGGGCGAGAGGAAGAACGCTTCGGGAAGTGCTCCGGTGGAGATGATCGAGTGGTTTGGGAATCTGAATCTGAACACAGTTTTAAGGTTGGTGGTCGGGAAGAGATATGCAATCTCTGGTGACGAAGTAGCCGAGGCGAGGCATTGCCGGAGGGTCATGAAGGCGTTTTTTGAACTTATCGGACTTCCGACGATCGGCGATGTCGTGCCGTTTCTCCGGTGGCTCGATATTGGCGGATTCGAGAAGAAAATGAAGGATACGTTTCATGAAATGGATGCTCTCATCTCCAAATGGTTGTCAGAACATCGCGCCGCCGCCGCCGACGGCAAGCAAGATGACTTCATGGATATAATGATTGGAGTCCTCAAAAATGCAAAGTTTGGAAACGAGTACGATGAAGACACCGTCATCAAAGCCACTTGTTCGGTAACTAACTAACTTGTTCATTTCCTTTCCAAATTTCTCAAATTAACTAATCTTCCGACACTAATATTACATACTGTAATAAATAAATATATGTATTGCAGAATTTGATTTCGGGAAGTGATACGAACGCAGTGATGTTAGTATGGCTGCTGACCCATTTACTCAACAACCCTAAAGTGCTAACGAAAGTCCAGCAAGAGCTCGACGAGAAAGTCGGGAGAGAGCGGCGGCTGGAGTCGTCGGACATAGACAACCTCGTATACCTCGAAGCCGTAGTGAAAGAGTGTCTCCGGCTGTTCCCGGCGGGGCCGTTGGGGGGGATACGGGAATTCAGTGAGGACTGCAACGTAGGAGGCTACGAAATAGAGAAAGGCACGATACTCTACGTCAACGTCTGGCAGTTGCAGAGAGATCCGGAAGTTTGGCCGGAGCCCACCAAGTTCTTGCCGGAGAGGTTTCTCGGCGCCGACAACCATAATGATTTCCAGTGGGTCCCGTTCGGCGGCGGCCGGAGAATCTGTCCCGGAGCGAATTTGGCGTTGGAGATGATGAAGGTGGTGATGGCCATTTTGCTGCATGCATTTGACGTATCGACGCCGGACGATGAACCTGTAGACATGACTGCAGCTCTTGGTGTGACCCTTACCAAGATTACTCCATTAAATGTAATGGTTTCTCCTAGGCTGCCCGCTTCTCTCTACTAATAAATAAAATTAACGAATAAATAAAATCAGGGTTATGTTATATATATATATATATATGTTATGGTTTGATGTTGTTTATGTTTGGGATCATGATGGTTGTAGTAATCTTGAAGCTGTAAGGAATAATTGTGGTTTCGTGTTCTGGATTTGTAATGTATTTTGATAAGATTAGTTGAAATTGTATGATTTATGGTTATAATGTTGATGGAAGATGATGCGGAAATAAAATTTTAATATATATATATATATATATATATTTAACAAAATATAAATTAAATGTGTATTAAAGTATTTTTAATAATATTATATCTTAACAAAATAGTTTATATTTTTGCAATATAATTATTTAATACTGTTAAGATATAAAGCCTGATTATTTAGGGATATAATTTAGATATTATATTCTAAATTTTAGAGATAGGATTTGGATATTATTGGCATAGAATTAGGCTATAAATATCCATTTATTCTCACTTTAACATGTGTGTACGTATTCTATAATAAAATTTCTGACTTGATTACAAAAATTCTAGGAAATCAAGAAGAGACAAACAAGAACACAATAATTTGGTAACTCAGTTCGATCACGATGATCGCGCTGCCAAACCAGAAATTTTACTATAGAATACGCAGACACATGTTAAAGTGAGAATACATGGATATTTATAGCCTAACTCTATGCCAATAATATCCAAATCCTATCTCTAAAATTTAGAATATAATATCTAAATTATATCCCTAAATTTTATGATATAATTAGGCTTCATATCTCAACAATCTCCCACTTGAAGACTGATTACATCTTCCACTTCAATATTATACTCCATCGGCAATGACAACACCAAACCTCCTTCTTCACTCATCAAGGCCAATTGAAGTTGAACACAACCTCAACTCATCTAAAGTCACCACCTTAGACTGTCTTTCAGGATTGGACATAAATCAGCTCACTACTCCCAGTACACGTGTTTTCCACTTCCTAAAGGTATCAAAAGTATCATATTTACACTTAAGGAAATATACTCATACTTCCCTTGTAACGTCGTCAATGACCGCGGTGTTGTACTATAAGTCTCCAAGGGTCGATACAAAAGCTGATTCCCGCAGATCCGTATAAACCAACTCCAACTTTTCATTTTCTAGGTCTCTCCCACCATTTGAGAACGCCACCTTTCGTTGCTTCCCAAAGATACAGTACTCGCATACTCCAATACCGATGGACTTAATACCTGACAATCTTTCCTTCGAAATGAGCTCCCCTATCCCCTTCTCGCTCATGTGTCTGAGATGAGAATGCCATAAATTTGTGTTGTTATTTATAGCCACGGAACTGATTCCATCTTGCATGGTTTTCGTCATGTAGAAAGTTCCATCTCTTCTCCCTTGGGCCACAACAATGGATCCTTGAGTTACCTTCCACGACTTAGTTTAAAAAACTGTCGAGTAACCTACCTCATCCAATTGTTCAACGGAAATCAGATTCCGTTTCAAACCCAAAATATGGCTCACGTCATTCAATCTCAACTCCCCACCATTCGGTGTTCTGATTCGAATCATTTCTTTACCTAAAATTTTCAGTGTCTTATCATTTGCAAGATAGACAACATCAAAATTACCTGTGGTATAGGATTCCATGATTCCCGAATCACTGCATGAGTGGAATGACGCTCCGATGCTCATAATTAGCATATTGAATATCTCCTCCGCTACCTAACCCTGATCCTTCTCCAGCGCCCCGCACTTTCGTTTCAAGTGCCCCTTACAGTTTCAACTTCGCTGCGTTTGCCGAAACCCTTATCCCCTTACAGTTTCAACTTCGCTGCGTTTGCCGAAACCCTTATCCTTCCCTGTCAACTTTGCACCGCCTATCACAAAGGGACTCGCTGCCTGACCTACCAGTCGGGACCGACCCAACACCAACGACCCAATGTCCAATTCCTTTCAATGCACCCTACCAACGAACCAAGCTCTGATACCACTTGTTATGATTGAACCAAATTCCTTTCAATGCACCCTACCAACGAACCAAGCTCTGATACCACTTGTTATGATTGAACCAACTCAATACTAGTATAATATTGTCCGTTTTAGGTTGAGCCCGCACGTATTTGTTTTTAGATATCCTCCAAAAGGCCTCATTCTAGTGGAGTTCACTTAGGATTTATAAAGTGTGGAATTTTCTTTACAACTTCCGATGTGGGACTTAAGTTTGCAACCCAACACCGCTAGGAGATTTTCGACACAAGGGACATCCGCAGGTCATGAGGGTGAGCCCACCATCACAACCAATTCCCAATGCCACCCAGTCTACTTCACTATCTAACCGGGCTCTGATACGATTGTAATCGGTCTTCAAGTGGGAGATTGTTGAGATATGAAACTTGATTATATCCTAAAATTTTAGAGATATAATTTAGATATTATATTCTAAATTTTAGAGATAGAATTTGGATATAATTGGCATAGACTTAGGCTATAAATATCCATGTATTCTCACTTTAACATGTGCCTGCGTATTCTATAGTAAAATTCCTGGCTTGGCAGCGCCCCCAGACGTAGATCATCGTGATCGAACTGGGTTACCAAATTCTTGTGTTCTTGTATCCTTGTTTGTCTCTTCTTGATTTCCTGGAATTTCCGTAACAAATATAATATCAAAATCTGAATATCGTGTATTTGATTCTTACCATCTCCATTCATTATCCGATGTTAATATCCGGGGAGGAATCGCCAACTAGGCTCGACAAGACAAGTTTTGCAACCAAATAATATATATAAATATTCATTCTGTACATTACGTAGGGATACTGTGTGATTTCATATTATATTTTTATTATTGTAAGATCAACATTTTGAATATATAATAAAAGAATATCCTATTATTTTGTGTAGCATTCATGTAATATATATATATATATATATATATATATATAAAACTCCATATAACATGGTGCATTGATAATTGATACCTTGGAAGTCCGATTGAGCGTTTGCCTATTCATTATTGATAGAAAAATTTATAAATGTTGTTGGAAATTTGTATTAAGTAAAACATAATTATATATTACGAAATATTTTGTTCTAATGAAAAAATTATATATATATGTTAAATATATTGAAGTCATTAGAAAATTTATATTGTTTACATGTCTGTTTGAACAATGTAATACAAAATATTCTAACATTAAAGACTCAAAAGAGGGGTAGAAGAAATTTAAGATTTTTTAAATTTTTACTATTAATTATCGACATTATTCAAGAAAAATATATTATTTATTTTTAAAATATTACATCAAATTTTATTTAAACTAAATAGGTGTATTGGTTGTGGAGTTCCTAGGATTTCTTTAGATTCTTAAAATTTGATAGTATTCTATTGAAATTTTCAAAAGTTTTTAAAAATTTTAAATTATTCAATTCAAAACTTTAATTTTTTTTTTAAAACTTAAGGGTTCAATACAAATTTAAAAAAGTCTTAGGAAATATATGTATTATTTATAATAAAACATTAAATAAGTATATAATTTAATATAAAAATAATTAGCATGGGTTACACGCTAAATATATACTATATATTTGACAACTCGTTTTAATTTGTTCATGATAACTCTTGTATTTGACATATTTTATAGCACATATATTTATTTATAAAAAATATAAGTATTATTTATAAAAAGTATTAAATTAGTTTATAGTATAATATAAAAATAATTCGTGCATAACACGGGTTATACTCTAGTATATACAAAACTTATTATTATTATTAGTTGTTACTTGTATTTGTTATTTTATATACTATGATTTTTTTTTTCAATTTTTTGTTTTGTTATTTAAAGATAAAAAGATGATGGAAAAGAAATTTTAATGAAAAATATAAATAAAAATAATATCTATTTTAATGAAAATAGAAATGACTAATGACCGTCTCACCTAAAATGGGGACGGGCAGTACTCGAACTCGAGACCTAACCTAGGCTCTGATACCATGTCGGAAGCTAATGACCGTCTCACCTAAAAGCTCGAACTTTTTAGGGAGACTAAGCCATTAGTTACATATCCCGCAAACGGGAGTCCTCAACAATGTTTTTATTTATTTTTTATATATTATATACATATATATTCTTAAAATAAATAAAATAACCCATCTTCATTTTCTCCAACACCTTATTTTTGCTATTTACAACTAAAGCAAAAATCTATTAACAATTAGAGTTACCCCAAAAAATAAAACCGATTAAAGCCCCAAACCACACATTTGGGAGATATTTAGAGTTGAATTTAATATTTCGACAGCTATATACTTTATTTCAATAAATTGGCTCAATCAATTTTGCATTTAATTTCCAAAATAGTCGAATAATTAATAAATTTATAACTTACAAAGAAGGTTCAATATTTATTAAAAGCTTTGCTTGTGTTTTTTTGTTGAGTTTGTGAAAAATTAGTTTGAATTTGATATTAAAATAATATTTAATAAAATATTTTGTAAAAATATATATAGAAAAATGCAAAGTCCAAAAAGTAAAATTTAAGTAAAAAAAACATACCATTTATTCTATAGCCATCTGCCAACTAACATATACGAATTTCTATTTCCGCAATAAATCCCACCTCATCTCGAACCTGAAAACCCACAATTTTCCTTCCATAGCCCTCCCTAGAGCCCGCCACGTATATATATATATATATATGATTTGTTTCTTCTGTCTTTGAATTTCAAATTTGTATTATTTGAATTTTTTTTTTTTAAACAATATATCTTTTATTTCTGTTGAGTACAAATAATAATAATAATAATAATAATAATAATAATGGCAGTAGGATTATGAATATAAGTCAAACTGTCTAAAAGTCAGGCGAAGAAGAAGTATCGGTAGACACGGAGGTCAGACAGGATAAGGTCGGGCAAAGAAGGATGATTCGGCAGACACGGAGGTCGGACAAGATAAGGTCGGACACGGAGATCGGACGTGATAAGGTCAGACACGGAGATCGGACATGATAAGGTCGGGCTCTGAGGTCGGACATGATAAGGTCGGGCACGGAGGTCGGACATAATAAGGTCAGGCACTGAGGTCGGACATGATAAGGTTGGGCACGGAGGTCGGATAAGATAAGATCAGACACGGAGGAAATAATATGCATCCAGGTCGGACGGCATATAGGTCGGGCGAAATGAAGTCGGACGAAGAAGGATGA